TCAGGAGAAACGCCCAATCCCAACCAACTCGGAGACGAGAGTTTTGAGGGTGTCTCATGCGAAACGGCCTGGATCATGAAATTGTCTTGAGGATGTCTCTGCTCGCGCGTCCCTCCCAGAACTAGTTTCGATCACAACAGCACCCCGTTCAGCAAGCTGTTTGGGGAAATATGTCTCTAACATCGTCTTGAAATCTTTCTTGAAGGGCTTCAAGACAGTTCAAGATGGCCCCGAAGACAGCCCGAGAATCCCCCACGGACGGCCCAAGAGGACCCCAAGTCTCCCCAAGGATGCAACGAGGTTAAGAGAGAACGTAATACAGTGGAAGCCCATGCCAAGAAACACCTGCTTACCTCCAGGGTTCCCTGGGTTTCTTGGGTTTCGATGGTTTTGTTATGGAAAGCGGGACGCTCCCACACCAAAATCAATGGACGTCTTGGGGTCTCAGGGTTGGGCCTTTTGTGGAGGATTTCTTGTGGTCGAGCACTTACTGTAGGAGGAAGAACGGATCCCGCCACTGTCCCTGGGAAATTGGTTAGAGGCCTTTTAGAGGGCCTCATCGGATAAGCTTTCTGAGGACAATCTGGAGCGTGGGCCTAACTATTGTTCATGCAATTCTAGAGTAGTGCCAGGATGGGCAGATGGAGAGACTGGGGAGGAAGGAGAGGAGGAGGAGCAAGAGGATGATGATGATGAGGAGGAGGAGGAGGAGGAGGAGGAGGAGGAGACGGAGGAGGAACGGAGGAGGAGGAGGACCATAGTAAACCCAATATGCATCAACCGCAACCGATGCTGCAATACGCCCTCCCGTCCCAAGTCCCCTCCTCACGAGGCCATCGAAGCCTTCCTTTCCTCTGCGGGCGCCTCCCCTGGAATGACGAGCGGCCGGCCGGTCTGCCAGTCAGACGAAGGCGCCTGTCGGAAAGGATCCCCCTTCCACGTGAAGGGCGCCCGAGGTAGCCCCATTTCGAGAAGCACGTGCCCTCTATCCTTTCAGAGTCTAAGCGTTGCAGAATGTCAAGGTCGCGGACGTATGCTCCGCGGAAGTCCCACGCGAGAGTCCTTCAAGGAGGCCCAGAGACAACTTAATTTTGAGGAGGGCATTCCCTCCATCCGGTCAAGCGTTGCAGGATGCCAACATCGTGGGCGTATGCTTCGCGCAAGTCTCACGCGAGAGCCCCGCTTCGAAAGAGGAGCCGGCCTCCATCCGTGTCAGCTGTTGCAAAGTATGAAACGCCGGGTCGTAGAGGTCGCGGAAGGGCCAAGTGAGCGCAGATTGTTGATTTTGTAGTCGAAAGTGCGGGAGGCCAAGGAGATGCCCCAATACGCTGGGGGGCGTTCTCTAAGGAATGTGCCGAGGAGGCTGCAGACCCTGGAGGAGTCCTTCTCTGGTGAGGGCGGCGGCGGTGACATCCATGGCCGATCGACGATCCGAATTTCACCGGTTTCCAGTCCTTGAATTCCTTATCCAAGGGTTCCGTGAGTTAAAAAATGCCTTCACCGTCATGGAAAGGACTCGCTATCCACTCACGCAACCAATGACAATTTGGAAGTCGAGTGTGCACGGCGCCAAGGCGAAAGCCCCGTTTGAAAAACTAACCGCCCTTCTATGTGTTCTTTGTTTGTGTCGAACGAGGGTTGTGTAAAACGATGGTGCGCGGTGCCAGCAAAACGAGAGCCCCAAAGTGAAAACCGTTTGTGGCCCACGCGTCAAAGCAACATGAATTCATCTGCTCCCTGAGACCTCTCGCGGCGACGAGGGCGATGAAGATGAGGATGTGGATGCCGTTGCTGCTGGTGGCGACGGCGAGCTTGGGAGCGCTTGGAGAGGGATTGGAGCGCCGGGGAGCATCTTGGAGCGTCTGGGAGCGCCTGGGGCAGCCTGGGGAACGCGCGGGTTCCACATCGGAGTCGGCGAGCGAGCCCGAAACGTATCGATGTAAGATGTGTTTGTGCCCTGTTTTTTCGGTTTCGATGGTTTTGCGATGGGCAGCGTGACGTTCCCACACCAAAAACCAGTGGACGGCCTGGAGTTTCAAGGTTGGGTTTCTTGTGGAAGGTTTCTTGTGGTCGGGCCCCCCTCTGCATGGCGAGAGCCACAATTGGAAATAGGCCTGGCCTCCATCCTCGAAGCCGTTGCAACTTGCAGCCTTCAGGACCACAGTGGGCGAGCGCAGCACACGCGAAACGCCCTGCCCTGCCTGCGGACACGTCCGGTGGTGCGACACGGGTGAGCTTTCTTCCAAGGAGAAGAACTGGAGGAGGAGGAGGAGGAGGAGGAAGAGGAGGAGGAGGACAACGAGGGGGGGGAGGAGGAGGAGGAGGAGGAGGAGGAGGAGGAGGAGGAGGAGGAGGAGGAGGAGGAGGAAGGAGGAAGGAGGAGGAAAGGAGGAAGGAGGAAGGAGGAATAGGAAGGAGGAGGGGAAGGAGGAGGAGGAAGGAGGAAGGAGGAGGAGGAGGAAGAAGAGGAGGAGGAGGAGGAGGAGGAGGAGGAAGGCGGAGGAGCAGAAGGAGGCAAGGGGTCTCCCTGCCTGGGGGCCAGTCTCCTCCAACCCCCCCTGCACGTCGGGCGGCGGACCCCTCCTTCCCTGCCTTCCTCCCGCAAAAGCCGCGGTCCTCGAACCTCAATCCGCGAACTCCTCAGGCCTCCCGCATGGGGCTGCAGCACCTGGGGTCGGAGGAGCGCGCCGCACTGCCGATGCATCGGTGATGCTGCGCGATCATCCGATCTCATTCGCTCCGGCGACATCCGCTCCCACCACTTCCCCAGTCGCGTGTTGCTAGAAGTGCCCCTGGCCCAAGGTGCCCCCAGGATATCCAAGGAGGTCCCCACGGCCTCCAGAGCACCCCTCACGAGGCCCAGGGGGCCCCAGGGGCTCCAAAATGGAGCGAAAAGCTGGTGGGACCTCGCGCCAGGGGCACCTTCAGCAAACCCCGACCGAGGGCCAGCTTCTCATCCCGAGTCGGTTTCTGACGGCCCCAAGGCCGGCCAGGCAACGGCATCCAGAGGTCACGAGCGACGACAGGCCGGCGCTGGCTCCTTCCTGGCGCACGAGGGCGGGTGCCAGCGCCGACCCTAGAGACCCTGCGGGGCTTTTGGGAGAATGTGTCTGTGCCTCGGGGCTCCGTGTGCTCCTCCTCCAGGAAGTTGGCCGCGGGTTGGCGCGGGGCGGCGGAAATCACCGAGAGACGCATCTGTCTTTTTCTTTGCTGGGGAGGGGTCGGGGCTTCTGGGGCGGGCCACGTGCTCGTCCTGGCGCATGGGCTCGCCATGCTCCTCCCGGCCTGTTCCGTCAGCTTCTGGGCGTTGCATCGCCGTCATCACCAGCATCATGGCTGGCGCCTTGCCCTTGCTGGCTCGAGTCAATTCGGCGCGGGCCGGCGTGACGCGGAAGGAGCGTGCTGTCCAATGCGGCGGTGATGGGATGCGCAGGCCGCCATGCGGCTAGGCTGGAAGAAGACAAATCAGCACTGGGTCTCTTGTATCGGGGAGGGAGGAGGAGGGAGGGAGGGAGGAGGAGGGGGAGGGAGGGTGAGGAGGGAGGAGGGATGAGGGATGAGGGAGGAGGGACGAGGGCGGAGGGAGGAGGAGGAGGGAGGAGGGAGACGGAGGAGGGGAGGAAGTGGGAGGAGGGAGGAGGGAGGATGAGGAGGAGAGGCAGGAGGAGGAACAGGAGGCGGAGGAGCAGGAGCAGGAGCAGGAGCAGGAACAGCAGGAGGACGAGGAGGAGGAGAAGAAGAAGAAGAAGAAGAAGCATAAATGTGCAGAGCTCCGCGTGGATCTCCTGGATCGGCGCCGGACCCTGGCGGCGCCTCCGGCGCCGCCGCTGGCCGGGGGAGGGGGGCCCAGCGCCTGTCCAAGAGATCCGCGCGGACCTCTGACAGCTTCTTTCTATGCCGGCCCCTGCTGAAGTCCTGACCCTCTCCCTGGGGGCAGTTCTTCGTTCGAGATCAGTGCTTGATGGCCCCGCGGCCCGAAAACCTCCACCGGGCTCGAAGAGTCGAAGGGAAGCGCCGCGCCTGAAAAGAGCACGTGCCGGCTTGCTCTTCTGCAGGCATGGGCTTCCTCCTCTGCGCCGCCCAGCTGGCCCAGCTGGGCATCGCGGCTTCCAGCCCGTCAGGCAGGGCGCCTACGATCCAATTCGACCCGCCGGTCGGGGCCGCCGACTCCATTCGATTCGGTTCGGCACACCCGCATCGGCCAGGGCCAGCCGCAGCCAGGCGCGGCGATCCGTTCTCGATCCGATCCGTGACGATCCGCTGCAGATCCGATCCGTTCTCGGCCCGGCCCGTGATCGAGGAGGATCGAGGATCGAGGAGGATCGAGGGTCGAGGAGGATCGAGGATCGAGGAGGATCGAGGGTCGAGGAGGATCGAGGATCGAGGGTCGAGGAGGATCGAGGAGGATCGAGGGCCGAGGAGGATCGGGCTCATCGAGACCTCGCGAAGTCCGACCCGGCCCAGGTCCGCTGGGCCCGGCCCCCGCGCGGAGGGCATGCAGCCCCGCCGACGAGCCCGCGAGCTGCGGCACAGCAGACTGCGCCAGCGAGGCCAGCTTGGAGGGGTGCCCGTGCACTTGTGCGGCGCGGGCAGCGGCAGGCCCATTGGGTCAACTCTCAGACCGTCCTCCTCCCCTCCTCCTCCTCCTCCTCCTCTTCCTCCTCCTCCTCCTCCTCCTCCTCCTCCTCCTCCTCCTCCTCCTCCTCCTCCCCCTCCTCCTCCTGCTCCTCCTGCTCCTCCTGCTCCTCCTCCCTCCTCCTCCTCCTCCGCCTCCTCCTCGGCCCGCAGAACGCATGGCGCTCGAGTGCAGGCAGCGGAGCAGCGGCTCAGACAGGTAGGAGGGAAGCTCAGGAGACTGAAGCTGAGGAGACGCAGAGGAGTAGCACACCAGGGGCCAGTCGCCTCGCTGAGGTATGGTGCAGTCATCCACGGACTCAGCCCAGCAGCCATGCAAAGAGCCAGGAGAAGATACGCCCAGGCGCTGAGGAGAGCCTGGCCAGGACGATGCTTGACCAAATTCCTCGCGCTGGAGGGCATCGACCCCAAGACCACCATCACCAGGGGCCAGCTGAAGGCTTGGTTCGACCTCTGGAGTAAATACCCTGACATCAGAGCGCAGGCTAAGAGAGCTGGGCCCAAAGTGTACTTCAGGCTGGCGAACACCAAGGAGGAACAGAGATGGAAGCAGCGCAGAGGAGTCATGGGCAGCATCATCCTGATGCTTTGGGCCGCGGGCTGGGACGCACGAGGACCAGACAGATGGATCGACCTGAACGGAAACATGTGGAAGTTCCCAGAGGGCGAGGAGGACGGAGACCCTGAGGACATCATCAAGTCGCTCCTGAGGGACATCACCCAGCTGCAATCGGCAGAAGCAGCCCAACACCACAACGGAGGAGGAGCAGAAGGAGGCATAGACAACACGGACACGATCAAGCACCTGGAGGCGCTGAAGAAGAAAGGGAACTACTTGGAGTACGGCGCGCTGGTCACAGCTGCCTGCGCAGGTACATGGACAAAAGACAGGCGTGCGAGGCGTTTCGGGTGCGGGGACAATCGGTGCGAGTGCGGCGAGATCGACACAGACCTGCACCGCATCTGGGGCAACTGCTCGGTAACGGAACCGCACGTGACCTACGAGAAGACGGAAGGACTCGCCAGGAGAGCTCAGGAAGAGGCGGCGACCAACCCGATCTTCTGGCTCAGAGGCCTTACACCAGCATCGTGAACTACTCCAGCGCCATGCTGCACTGAGGAGGGCGATGAAGTCAGCACTGGCGAAGCGCAAGCACCACGCCGACTTAGAGCAGCAGAAGGCGGAGAGCTTGTCGCCAGCGGAGACGGCTCACGAAGCGAACGCAGCAACTACGATAGATACAGGCGATGCGGATGGAGTTGGATCATACTGGACAGCACCACCAGGCGCGAGAACTTCGACGTGAAGGCGGACCAGTACGCGGCCCTCCCAGGAAGCAAGCAGACGAACAACAGAGCGGAGTTGTTCGCGCTCATCCGCTGCCTCGAGGCGACGGAAGGGCTCATCACGTTCTGGACCGACAGCGAGATCACCTTCATCGGCTGGCGAGAGGAGAGGGACACCAGAGAGGAGCAAACGGGCACCAGCGGCGACTTATGGAAGAGGATGCGCGCAACACTCCGAGCCAGAGGAGGAGAAGTTCGCCAACAAGTGAAGGTCAAACACATGAACAGCCACGTGACGGAGGAGGAGACCGCTGCCAAGGGGATTCCACGAGAAGCATGGGAAGGTAACCGAACAGCGGACAAGCTCGCGGAGCGAGGGGCGCAGAGTCATGCCATACCTAGGAACGAGGTACGAGTGGGCCAGGGCCACGGCCGCGCTGGTGAGAGCTCGCATCGCCATCAGCACGAAGGGCGTCATCGCCAGGAGGCCAGGCGACAGCAGGGAGGTGAAACGAGCGCGGCAGAAGGAGGCCCAAGCGAGGAGGCGGAAGAGACAGCTCAAACACATTACTTCGGGAAGGAAGAAGAGACGCCGCCCACCACGCACACTCTGAGCAGACCTCGCCGAATCACGGGCTGGACCTGCACCTGCTGCAACCAGACCGTCATGAAGAGCTCCACAGACTTCGAGGCCGTCAGGCGATGGTTCAAGGAAGGCTGCGGCGGCCCGCCACCAGAGGAGGGCAGCAGCGTCAGCTACCACGGTGCAGGCGCACACGCCTCACACCCGTTGGGACGGCTCGACAGCCAGCAGAGGTGGTACTGCCGCATATGCGCCAGCTCGGCGACGGAGTACCGCAGCGACAAGATGCAGAGCCAGTGCGCGGGCAAGCCGGGCTGCGACTCCATGGCGTACAAGTTGAAGCGTTCGGGGGGAACTGGCTTGCGCAGAGCAATGGCAGCGGGACACGGCACGACCTGCAGGAGAAGGCGAGCCCCAGGCGGACCAGACGGGGCAGGCGAACCATCATTCCGACGACGAGGTGAAGAAAAGTGAGCCCGCCCCAGATGGTGAACCGCCCAGTCCTGAAGAAGTGCGCGACGAATAAGGACCCGAGCCTGAGGCAGAGGCTAGGAAGGTTGCAGAGGCTGAGGCAGAGGAATGCCCTGAGGAAAGATGACAGAGGCTGGGAAGGTGGCTCGCGCAGGCGGCGCTAAGAGCAGCAGAGACTGCAGAAGCAAGCAGCCCAGCCGACCACATCGAGAAGACGGACGCACACGGCCAGCCTGGCCGAGTACGGAGGAACAAGCGGCGGGGAGAGGGGGGGGCTGGTATTCAACCCCATGTCGCCCCCCCCCCCCCACCCACATAGAGAACCCGTTCTGCAAGAGAGCTGCAGGCTGCGGAGGACCAGCAGCTGGCGCGGAAACCGCTCCGCGAGCACGACGCGGAGGCGCAGCGCGAGGGCTGCAGGTTGCGGACTTGCAGTGGCGGGCGCGCCCATGTTTGCGGCGCCATGAGCGGAGCCCCGCGGCGCCGCGGGCGAGCGCGGGCGCGCCCGTGGGAGGAGACAGCATTGTCGTCGGGCGGAAAGTCCAGGATACTCCTCCTCCGTCTCCTCCTCCTTCTCCTCCTCCTCCCTCCTCTTCCTCCTCCTCCTCCTCCTCCTCCCCCTCCTCCTCTTCCTCCTCCGCGTTCCACCTCCCTCCCCTCCTCCTCCTCCTCCTCCTCCTCCTCCTCTCTCCTCCTCCTATCCTCCTCCTCATTATCCCTCCTCTTCCTCCTCCTCCTCCTCCTCCTCCTCCCCTCTCGCCCTCCTCGCTCCTCTCCTCCTCCTCCGCCTCCTCTTCCTCCTCCTCCTCCTCCTCCGCCTCCTCCGCCTCCTCTCCTCCTTCCTCCGCCTCCTCCTCCTCCTCCTCCTCCTCCTCCTCATCCTCATCCTCAACCTCATCCTTGCCCTCCCTCCTCCTCCTCCTCCACCTCCTCCTCCTCCGCCCCTCCCCTCGCTCATCCTTATTTTCCCTCTCTCTCCTCTCTTCCTCCCCCTCTTCCTCCTCCTCCTCCTCCCACTCCTCCCCTCTCCCCGCCTCCTCCCTATATTCCTCTCTCCTCCTCCTCCTCCTCCTCCTCCTCCTCCCTCCTCCCCCTCCTCCCCCACTCCTCCCCACTCCTCCCTCCTCCTCCTCCTCCTCTCCTCCTCCTCCTCCTCCTCTCCTCCTCCTCCTCTTCTCCTCCTCCTCCTCCTCCTCCTCCTCCTTCTCCTCTCTCCCTCCTCTTGCGCTTCTCTTCCTCCTCTTCCCCCTCTCCTCCTCCTCCTCCTCCTCCTCCTCCTCCTCCTCCTCCTCCCCTCCTCCTCCTTCCTCCTCCTCCCTCTCCTCCTCCTCCTCCTCCTCCTCCTCCTCCTCCTCCTCCTCCTCCCCAGCCTCCTCCTCCTCCTCCTCCTCCTCCTCGTACATCGCTCCTCGCTCCTCCCCCGCCCCCGTCCTCCTCCACCTCCTCATCCTCCCCGGGCTCATCCCTGTAGCCATTTTGGCTCAAGCCTCCGACACTGTATTGGTTGGGCCGGAGATCAGTCCTTCGCGGCCGCGCATGGGGCGCAATGGGAAGGAGGATCCGCGGACTGGAAGCCAGTACGCAAAGTGCCGTTGCTGTGGATACAAGTGGAATTGGGCCACAAGAACCGATTGCTACAAGTGCAAGAGAGGGCTGCAGCCGCCCACCTCTCAAGAGCGGGCTCCACAGGGAGAGTGGGGTCCAGGCGGGGCTAGTGAGCGGCGCCGCAGTCGGGGGGCGGCCAAGGTCAAGGCAACTCGGGAGGAGCTCCTCAAGCAGCTGCGGGCCACCATCCCCGACGGCGACGCGGAGTTGGCCCGACATCTTGAGGCGCTCGCTCGAGTACCGCCGCATGAGGTGCACCCCGACGTCACCCTCAACCAGGCCCAGGCGCGTTTGCGAAGGGCCGAGGCGGCTCTCAAGAAGACCCTCGAGACGAACAAGGGGGCCGAGCAGTGGCTGCAGGATCAGCGCGAGCTGCAGGAGACCTGGATCTTCGAGGTCGCCGAGGCCGACGCGGCGGTGCAGGAGGCCTACGCCAGGGCGGCCCCCAAGCGGTCAGCCGCAGCGGCGGAGGCCGCTCCGCCAGCGCCCACAGCGGAGGCCGCGCCCCCAGCCCTCGACCTCCCCGAGCTGCTCGAGGGCGACGCGGCTTTCCTCAGCGCGCGGCCTGGCAAGGCCTTCGAGTTGGAGGGGCTCGACATCGCGCAAGAGGAGCAGAGGCAGTTCGAAGAGCAGGTCGGCAATTTCGTCAAGCAGGTCCACATGGAGGTCAAGCTCCACTTCGGCTCAGCGGCGGAGGGGATCGCCGCGATGCGGGCCGACCTCAAGGCCTTCAGCGACAGGATCAAGCACAAAAGGGCTCGGTCCGAGAGCCGACCCCCTCAGGCCGCCATCGACCCCGCGATCTTGGTGGCCAAGGGGGCAGGCAAAGGGGGCGGGCCCGCCGAGGGCCAGGCCGCGGCCGCCCAGCCTGCCGCCGCCGCCCCCGCAGGGGGGGGGGGGGGGGGGGCGCGGCTCCCATTCCTGATGCTGGCGGTGCTGGCGACGCTGCTGCAGCCAGCGGCAGCGGCGATGCAGGAGCCACTCCTCCCGCAGGCGCCTCACCTCGCGGGGGCGCCAAGTCGGCAGTGGACGCCGACGCCCGTGCCAGGATCCTGCAGCGGGTGGCCGCCAGCCCGCCGGGTGCCGACGGAGACACAGCCTAGGCCTGAGGGCCCAGAGCCGCAGGGCTGGAGGCTGCGGCGGCAGCGCACGCGCCGCGGGCGGCGCAGGGCGGGTGCACGCGGCGGTGGAGGCCCCTCGGGCACGGCATCCACGACCTCTACGAGTACTACCACTACATGGAGGGCACCCCCTCCGCCCGAGCGCTTGCCGACCAGGTCGGCGCTCCGCGGGGCGGGCAGCTCGACGCAACCAGAGCGACGCCAGGTCGCATTCATCATCGGCACCAGCGCCCACGTGCCAGCGAGCGCGGGCGGCTTGGACATCCAGGACGGGGACGACGGCAGCTCCTCCTCGGACACTTGGGCGCGGCGAGTGCTCAGGGGGGCTGCTTTGCTCCGCCGCCAGCTGCTCCCGCCGTGGCTCCGACGGCCATCGCCCAGCTCGGTCTCGAGCTCGGGGTCGGAGGCCGCGGAAGGGGACCCAGTGACGCATGAGTGGAGAGCCGCGGATGCGCGGGTGGCCGACGCCTCTCCCCACGCGCCCCTTCTCGCCGAGGCCGCCGAAAGGTGGGTGGTCGACGCCCTCGGCGACGAGCTCGTGCGATGGAGGGCCGCAGACGCGCGGGTGGCCGACGCCCCTCCTCGCGAGCGCCGTCAGCTCGGGCCCCTCGACGGAGGGGTGGTCGACGCACCCGAGCTGGGGAGAGGGATACTGGGGGCCAGCGACGCATGAGTGGAGAGCCGCGGATGCGCGGGTGGCCGGTGCCTCTCCTCGCGCGCCCTCTCTCCGAGTCCACCGACAGGTGGGTGGCCGATGCGCTCGGGGATGAGCTCGTGGAGTGGAGAGCCGCAGACGTGCGGGTGGCCGACGCCTCTCCCCACGAGCGCCCCCAGCTCAGGTCCATCGACGGATGGGTGGTCGACGCACCTGAGTTGGGGAGAGGGCGACTGGCCTGCGGTCCCAGAGACGCAGACGAGGGGGGCAGCGGATGCGCGGGTGACCGATGCCTCCCCCCATGCGACCCCTCGCACCGAGTCCACCGACAGGTGGGTGGCCGGTGCACTCGGTGATGAGCACGGCGAGGGAGAGCCGCAGACGTGCGGGTGGCCGATGCCTCTCCCCCCGTGCGACGCCGCTCCGATGCCATCGACGGATGGGCGGCCGACGCCTTCGGAGCCTGCGGAGGGCGACGGGGGCCCACCCAGTCGCCAAAAAGCAGTTTCTGGTGCGGGGGCGGCCTCACGAGTGCGGGGCAAGGGGCGGCAAGCCAAGCCTGGCATGGTGCTCAGAGGCCTCAACGCGAGTGCCTGGAGCACTCTCGTCGACCACATGGACGAGATGCCGTTGGGCAGGAGCACCGTCATGTTCGTCCAGGAGCACCGCCTCGACAGTGACTTCGCCAACGAGATTAGCGCCAGCTGTTTCCAGAGGCACCTCA